CGGCAGAGCAGTAAGTCAGTGTGTATAAATGATTTTACCTGATGTATCGGGACTACTACAAGAATCATTAAAAGGATAGGGTAACGGCAGATCAGGAAGTCAGTGTGTATAGATGATTTTACCTGATGTATCGGGACTACTACAAGAATCATTAAAAGGATAGGGTAACGGCAGATCAGGAAGTCAGTGTGTATAGATTATTTTACCTGATGTATCGGGACTACTACAAGAATCATTAAAAGGATAGGGTAACGGCAGAGCAGTAAGTCAGTGTGTATAAATGATTTTACCTGATGTATCGGGACTACTACAAGAATCATTAAAAGGATAGGGTAACGGCAGATCAGGAAGTCAGTATGTATAGATGATTTTACCTGATGTATCGGGACTACTACAAGAATCATTAAAAGGATAGGGTAACGGCAGATCAGGAAGTCAGTGTGTATAGATTATTTTACCTGATGTATCGGGACAACTACAAGAATCATTAAAAGGATAGGGTAACGGCAGATCAGGAAGTCAGTGTGTATAGATTATTTTACCTGATGTATCGGGACTTCTACAAGAATAGTTAAAAGGATAGGGTGTAATGGCAGATCAGGAAGTCAGTGTGTATAGATTATTTTACCTGATGTATCGGGACTACTACAAGAATCATTAAAAGGATAGGGTAACGGCAGATCAGGAAGTCAGTGTGTATAGATTATTTTACCTGATGTATCGGGACTACTACAAGAATCATTAAAAGGATAGGGTGTAATGGCAGATCAGGAAGTCAGTGTGTATAGATTATTTTACCTAATGTATCGGGACTACTACAAGAATCATTAAAAGGATAGGGTAACGGCAGATCAGGAAGTCAGTGTGTATAGATTATTTTACCTGATGTATCGGGACTACTACAAGAATCGTTAAAAGGATAGGGTAACGGCAGAGCAGGAAGTCAGTGTGTATAGATTATTTTACCTGATGTATCGGGACTACTACAAGAATCATTAAAAGGATAGGGTAACGGCAGATCAGGAAGTCAGTGTGTATAGATTATTTTACCTGATGTATCGGGACAACTACAAGAATCATTAAAAGGATAGGGTAACGGCAGATCAGGAAGTCAGTGTGTATAGATTATTTTACCTGATGTATCAGGACTACTACAAGAATCATTAAAAGGATAGGGTAACGGCAGATCAGGAAGTCAGTGTGTATAGATTATATTACCTGATGTATCGGGACTACTACAAGAATCATTAAAAGGATAGGGTAACGGCAGATCAGGAAGTCAGTGTGTATAGATTATTTTACCTGATGTATCGGGACTACTACAAGAATCGTTAAAAGGATAGGGTAACGGCAGATCAGGAAGTCAGTGTGTATAGATTATTTTACCTGATGTATCGGGACTACTACAAGAATCATTAAAAGGATAGGGTAACGGCAGAGCAGGAAGTCAGTGTGTATAGATTATTTTACCTGATGTATCGGGACTACTACAAGAATCATTAAAAGGATAGGGTAACGGCAGATCAGGAAGTCAGTGTGTATAGATTATTTTACCTGATGTATCGGGACTACTACAAGAATCATTAAAAGGATAGGGTAACGGCAGATCAGGAAGTCAGTGTGTATAGATTATTTTACCTGATGTATCGGGACAACTACAAGAATCATTAAAAGGATAGGGTAACGGCAGATCAGGAAGTCAGTGTGTATAGATTATTTTACCTGATGTATCGGGACTACTACAAGAATCGTTAAAAGGATAGGGTAACGGCAGATCAGGAAGTCAGTGTCTATAGATTATTTTACCTGATGTATCATGAGTACTACAAGAATCATTAAAAGGATAGGGTAACGGCAGAGCAGGAAGTCAGTGTGTATAGATTATTTTACCTGATGTATCGGGACTACTACAAGAATCATTAAAAGGATAGGGTAACGGCAGATCAGGAAGTCAGTGTGTATAGATTATTTTACCTGATGTATCGGGACTACTACAAGAATCATTAAAAGGATAGGGTAACGGCAGATCAGGAAGTCAGTGTGTATAGATTATTTTACCTGATGTATCGGGACAACTACAAGAATCATTAAAAGGATAGGGTAACGGCAGATCAGGAAGTCAGTGTGTATAGATTATATTACCTGATGTATCGGGACAACTACAAGAATCATTAAAAGGATAGGGTAACGGCAGAGCAGGAAGTCAGTGTGTATAGATTATTTTACCTGATGTATCGGGACTACTACAAGAATCATTAAAAGGATAGGGTAACGGCAGATCAGGAAGTCAGTGTGTATAGATTATTTTACCTGATGTATCGGGACTACTACAAGAATCATTAAAAGGATAGGGTAACGGCAGATCAGGAAGTCAGTGTGTATAGATTATTTTACCTGATGTATCGGGACAACTACAAGAATCATTAAAAGGATAGGGTAACGGCAGATCAGGAAGTCAGTGTGTATAGATTATTTTACCTGATGTATCGGGACTACTACAAGAATCGTTAAAAGGATAGGGTAACGGCAGATCAGGAAGTCAGTGTCTATAGATTATTTTACCTGATGTATCATGAGTACTACAAGAATCATTAAAAGGATAGGGTAACGGCAGAGCAGGAAGTCAGTGTGTATAGATTATTTTACCTGATGTATCGGGACTACTACAAGAATCATTAAAAGGATAGGGTAACGGCAGATCAGGAAGTCAGTGTGTATAGATTATTTTACCTGATGTATCGGGACTACTACAAGAATCATTAAAAGGATAGGGTAACGGCAGATCAGGAAGTCAGTGTGTATAGATTATTTTACCTGATGTATCGGGACAACTACAAGAATCATTAAAAGGATAGGGTAACGGCAGATCAGGAAGTCAGTGTGTATAGATTATTTTACCTGATGTATCGGGACAACTACAAGAATCATTAAAAGGATAGGGTAACGGCAGATCAGGAAGTCAGTGTGTATAGATTATATTACCTGATGTATCGGGACAACTACAAGAATCATTAAAAGGATAGGGTAACGGCAGAGCAGGAAGTCAGTGTGTATAGATTATTTTACCTGATGTATCGGGACTACTACAAGAATCATTAAAAGGATAGGGTAACGGCAGATCAGGAAGTCAGTGTGTATAGATTATTTTACCTGATGTATCGGGACTACTACAAGAATCGTTAAAAGGATAGGGTAACGGCAGATCAGAAAGTCAGTCTGTATAAATGATTTTACCTGATGTATCTGGACTACTACAAGAATCATAAAAAGGATAGGGTAACGGCAGATTAGAAAGTCAGTGTGTATAGATTATTTTACCTGATGTATCGGGACTACTACAAGAATCATTAAAAGGATAGGGTAACGGCAGATTAGAAAGTCAGTGTGTATAGATTATTTTACCTGATGTATCGGGACTACTACAAGAATCATTAAAAGGATAGGGTAACGGCAGATCAGAAAGTCAGTGTGTATAAATGATTTTACCTGATGTATCGGGACTACTACAAGAATCATTAAAAGGATAGGGTAACGGCAGATCAGGAAGTCAGTGTGTATAGATTATTTTACCTGATGTATCGGGACTACTACAAGAATCATTAAAAGGATAGGGTAACGGCAGATCAGAAAGTCAGTGTGTATAAATGATTTTACCTGATGTATCGGGACTACTACAAGAATCATTAAAAGGATAGGGTAACGGCAGATCAGAAAGTCAGTGTGTATAGATGATTTTACCTGATGTATCGGGACTACTACAAGAATCATTAAAAGGATAGGGTAACGGCAGAGCAGTAATTCAGTGTGTATAAATGATTTTACCTGATGTATCGGGACTACTACAAGAATCATTAAAAGGATAGGGTAACGGCAGAGCAGTAAGTCAGTGTGTATAAATGATTTTACCTGATGTATCGGGACTACTACAAGAATCATTAAAAGGATAGGGTAACGGCAGATCAGGAAGTCAGTGTGTATAGATGATTTTACCTGATGTATCGGGACTACTACAAGAATCATTAAAAGGATAGGGTAACGGCAGATCAGGAAGTCAGTGTGTATAGATTATTTTACCTGATGTATCGGGACTACTACAAGAATCATTAAAAGGATAGGGTAACGGCAGAGCAGTAAGTCAGTGTGTATAAATGATTTTACCTGATGTATCGGGACTACTACAAGAATCATTAAAAGGATAGGGTAACGGCAGATCAGGAAGTCAGTATGTATAGATGATTTTACCTGATGTATCGGGACTACTACAAGAATCATTAAAAGGATAGGGTAACGGCAGATCAGGAAGTCAGTGTGTATAGATTATTTTACCTGATGTATCGGGACTACTACAAGAATCATTAAAAGGATAGGGTAACGGCAGATCAGGAAGTCAGTGTGTATAGATTATTTTACCTGATGTATCGGGACAACTACAAGAATCATTAAAAGGATAGGGTAACGGCAGATCAGGAAGTCAGTGTGTATAGATTATTTTACCTGATGTATCGGGACTTCTACAAGAATAGTTAAAAGGATAGGGTAATGGCAGATCAGAAAGTCAGTGTGTATAGATTATTTTACCTGATGTATCAGGACTACTACAGGAATAGTTAAAAGGATAGGGTAACGGCAGATCAGGAAGTCAGTGTGTATAGATTATTTTACCTGATGTATCGGGACTACTACAAGAATCATTAAAAGGATAGGGTAACGGCAGATCAGGAAGTCAGTGTGTATAGATTATTTTACCTGATGTATCGGGACTACTACAAGAATCATTAAAAGGATAGGGTAACGGCAGATCAGGAAGTCAGTGTGTATAGATTATTTTACCTGATGTATCGGGACTACTACAAGAATCATTAAAAGGATAGGGTAACGGCAGAGCAGGAAGTCAGTGTGTATAGATTATTTTACCTGATGTATTGGGACTACTACAAGAATCATTAAAAGGATAGGGTAACGGCAGATCAGGAAGTCAGTGTATATATAGATTATTTTACCTGATGTATCGGGACTACTACAAGAATCATTAAAAGGATAGGGTAACGGAAGAGCAGGAAGTCTTGTTTTCAGAGTTGGTGCTATTTTCTCTTCAAAGTGTTCCATAGCCATAGAAGAAATATCTCGTAACTCTTGTAAGAACTCATGAGCCCGAGGAGGCTGGTCTGTAGTTGGTTGTTTTGTTGTTATCTGTAAAGCTTTTAAAATCTTCAACAATTCATCAAGCACCTGCAAAATATTGTTTCTCACTTAATTTTTTTTTAACTTATAAAATTGTTATATGTTTTATCTATAAGATGAGTATAAACAATATCTATTTAGATCAATCATCACATAACAATTTGATAGAAATTTATAAAAATAAATATCAAGGATTCAGAAACAAGAAAATCTGTCTCCATAGCCACTTAGTATATTCCACATGTACATTGTACAATGACATAAACAATTCTTGCCTGTGTTTGAACCTCTGAGGTTGTCTCAGCAAAAAACACTTCAGTAATATTCATGTTAAGTACAGTATTTCATATACATCATGTACATATTCACCTTTGAATTGCTTTTCTTATTTAATGTCATTTTTCATATCGGTTCTGCAATTCATCTTTTAGTAAGACCATTTCGAGTTATTTCTTTTGGGACAAAATCAAAATTTTTATGGCCGATATTTTATTGAATTTGTAATTATGTTTGGGTAGCAATATACAGTTAGGATAAAAAAAGTGTGTGTAAACATTACAATAGTTTTTGGACCTATGGCCAGTCGGGATATGAAAATATAGTCAAACAGAAAATATCCCATAAAACATGTCAAAAATAATCTTGATAATCCTATAAACTGACTTTGAAGGCTTAATTAGTCATCAGCTGTCTAAAAATGAATTTTGTTGCACAATAACTTTCATATTTTAAAAATCCACCATGGCCAAAATGCGAAACCACACTCCTAACTGTGTATTGCTACCTTCAACAGTTTTGAAGCGACAGAGTACAAATACGGTTCATGATTGAATCTAATAATGACAACATCGATTTGTACTTCTATGAATTTTTTAAAAATGTAGACAACTTAAAAGGGAACCAGGCGATCGTTTGAGTTATAATTTTACAATCAGCTGTTTGTTTATATTTTCTATTTGTACTATTCAAAGGGTCAAGATGTAGGATTAGGTGTGAGTTTACTACGGCCCTTAATGTTATTGATTGAAATGAGGCAATTGCACTATCAAGATTCTATTAGCTGAGTCTAGAAGCGAAAATTTTATTACAAAAAAGAGTTAAATTAATAACCTAATATACATATATCTTTATTTCTTTCCAATAAATATGCAACAATGGTATATTTCGATTAAATCCCTTTCTATTACAGTGCCTTTATATCAATGTAAAAAGTGCCCTAAAAGTGTAGTCCTCTGTGGAAAGGGTGCGCCTAAAGTGTAGCCAATCGTGCTTAAAGTGCCCTTTGAGAAAAAAATACCCTGCCCTTTTCAAAAGCTGCAGGAAACACTATAATATTATTTGACATTTGACATGTTCGAAAAAAAATTCATAAAATGTCTATTTTTTAAACACAATAACCTGATGAATTTTGTAATCAGCTCATGGATTGACAACTAGGGATTTTAAGTGAATATGAATAAGACAAGTTAACAAAAGTACAAACTACTGTTTCTGTCATTTTATTCATGAGATAATTCTTCTTTTTTGGTCACTGCATTACATTTAAGATAAAGATTATTATTTTTTTTTATGGAAATGGAAATAAGTATCCTGTACCTGTAATTTTGTAAATTGCATCTTTTTAAATCTATTTTTTGATAGCACTTAATCATAATGTATGCAAACATTTAAAATATGATTTTCATTGTTATCTTTTTATTTTGTTGATTTTACGATATAGTGTAGATAACTTTTTTTTTAATGTGTTTGCATCTATCATACTGCAGATTCGTTATTATTTATGGGATATATGTACTAAATTTCATGGGTATACAATGTAGGTAAACCACAATTCTAATTATTCATTGGGGTACCAATTTTCTATTGGCTTGTCTGCAGAAGTTGGCAAATTCATAAATTCAGTTCTGAGTGGGTCAAACTTTTTTCTCTAACTATGTTGTGTCCATGATGTCTGTGTGCATTTAAACAGTTATAATAATATCTATTCGGAACATCACATATATAAAGCATTAGAGAAACATAATCTACCTCAATACCCTGTTGACTACAATATTCATCCACTCACAATATGGTCAATGGATTAATGGACATTTGAATTGTTTTACATTTGTCATTTCAGGGCCTTTTAAAGCTGACTAAACGGTATGAGTTTTACTCATTATTGAAGGTGCTAGGCCGTACCATGACCTATAGTTGTTAAATTCTGTGTCATTTGGTCTCTTGTAGAGAGTTGTCTCATTGGCAATCATACCACATCTTCTTATTTTTCATGTTTTTATATTGTAGTTGCATAGAAAATGCTAAATTTTAACAACAATAACTATTTTAAGTAAATATAATCCTCAACATGCCAAATGACATGCTCTGTACATTGTGTAGTATAATCAGTAAACTATAGTGTATTATATAATACCTTGCCAGGTATAAAGCAGCACAGGCCAGTATCAATGTATCTCATATAAGTCATACTGAGTAAGGAAAGACGTGTTTCTATTGCAGACAGTATATCAACATGTCTAGCTAACGCATGATTTCTACGTTCTGACTCTCGCCGTGGAAGCTGGCTTTTTACTTTCTTCTGTATCTGTGAATGAAGTCTGTCTACTCTGGTAAATCCTGTATTGAGCAGAGACTGACATCTCTTGTTGATTTGATGGCAAACCTGTTAAAATGTAGAGATACAAAAATAATTAATGCAGATATATATCTTTACCACTTTTACTCAGTCAAATATACTTGATACATTTGTACATGTACCAACTTCTTGAGAGAAACGAAAATAAATGATGTCAATGATCATGTGATTGGCTAATGCTAATGCGAACAAAATTTATTGAAATTTAATTACCATTGAAGCACATCTTTTCACATGTTTTTCTGAAAGATTTCTAACTTCAAAATTTGCTGACAGAATGTTTATTTTGAAATAATGGACTTTAAAAAAAAAGATAGATCATATGATCATCTAGTTGAAAAAAAGCACTGTAACTGATTTGTTATCATGTGAATACATACTAAAACCCTGGAAGACAATATTTTAAAAATTTACAGACTTTGTATGCTCAAATATGACTCCATAAATTACAGTAAAGTCTGACAAATTAGTTGGGATTGCAACATAATTTTATCTAATATATATATGGCAAACAATAACTCATATTCTTGAAAAAATTATTTTTTATTTAAGGAATGACTGTAATATTTTTTCTGTCTATTCGAAATAACATCAAAAATGTGGTGCACACTAAATAACCCGTGTAGCGGTTTATTTTAAAGTGTGCACCACATTTTTTATGTTATTTCGAATAGACAGAAAAAATATTACAGTCATTTCTTATAATTTAATTCTAAATTCCATTTTAAACCGGAGTAAACCATGAAAAAACGTTGATGACGTCACGGTCACATGACAAAATTATGTCTATGAGCTGATAAACAAAACAACGTCAGCCAATCAGAAGACGCGTTACATCCAAAATTAAATTATTGTTACATGTATATGTTTCACAAACAAATCTCCAACTAAGCCGGGAGGTTTTGGAATTGTAATTAATTGATTCCAGCCCATTTAGATATTTGACGCACACTGTTGCACTTAAAAATGGTAGATGTCAACTTTATTGCCGGTAAACAGATTTTGATTTCATCTGGTTTTATTGCATAAGGGTTAGGCAATCACATAATTTATATTTGTTTCTTCACGATTTTACCTTTAATTTACTGCAAGTAATGAATGAAAACAGAAGTCTTGTTGTTTAAAATTATTGACAAGAATTGTGTAAGGCCAAAAAAAATATATGCTTGTTTCCTGCATCCCGACTAACCCTAAATTGATTGCCTTTCCAAAAAATTATTCAAGAAAAAGCATTGAGAGCCTATTTGACTAGGAATCAAAATTTCTTCTGGATTATTCAATCAAATTTGTAACAAGATCGATTCATATCGAGTGTGGAACTTTTCAAACCATTGAAAATTATAAATGTATCAACACGCATGCACAAATTACATGATGCATAAGTGTACAACAGGACCAAACTTGGAGAAAACATGAAATTTTTCTGGATTGTGTTAACATTAAAAAAATAAAATAAAATGAAAACATAAAATAAAATCTAGACTGACTGACCCTATCTTACATGTCTTATAATGGTTGGAGGCAGGAAACAGACATGTGGCGTGATTGTCAGTTTGCTAAGAATTCCCCTTAAACCTATGCTATTGGCAGTCTAAACATGCTAAACTTGCATTGAGGTGAGAGTTTTTTGTGCTCCATGTTGAAGGCCTCACTGTGACTTTGAGACGAAGAACAGCAATAAAAGCGCTGTTCCTTTGCTTTATGCTTTTTTTGTTGTGCACATACTGATTTTCTGTCCTGGATGGATACCCTATATCCTTTCTTTTGTTTTTTTGGGACTAAAACCCTGATTTGGGTTTTTTATAACAGCTTAAGGATACTATCATTGATGATTTGACTCAGGTAGTGTATCTGGGATGTGGCCCATGGACGTACAGGTTTCTGATAAGGTGCGTCCAGTCAGAAAATCATGCATCTATAGAAGCCGACTAGCCGTCATGTAATATTGGAGCAGGGTTTTTGATCAAACACTTTTAAACTATCAATCGAGTTCATCATGTTCATTGGAGACAATGTTTTTCACTTAGCAGAAAATAAAATGTTTTCAAAAAACCACTATTGCCCTATATTTTATTGTGATTGCACTGATTTATCCTGGCCTTCACATTATCCTAGAAGAATATTAATTGTGGAATCTGACATTGTATTCACCAGAAGCAGTGTTCTCCCCAGGCCCTTAAAGTCCCACGGACCTGTGGTCCTATAATTTCCGAGTGTGGTCCTATCAGTCCCCGCACGGTCATATATTTCTGTTCCGTGGTGCTATAATTTTCGTTAAAAAATCATTAATTCGGTAAAATCTTGTGTGTATGGTAAAAAATTACAGGTGAAATTTAAACAGCACGTTGATAGATATATAGTTACAACGGGTGATTGATTTACCCGATGAGGGTTATCTGTTGCTGATTGGATTTAATCAATCATTAGCACTTGTAACTTGTTTCTTTTGTGTTTTAATTAATATGGAGATAATTTATGACTTCTAACAACAATTTGATGTCTTCACGCACCTCCAAAGCGTAGACCAGTGATGTAATCAGAAATTTTAATTTGGACACTAACAATGCCGATAGTTGTACACATGCCAAAAAATTGTTTATACATGTACTTGATAAAAGATTAACTGTTGGTCCATTAAATAATAATAATTGACAATTATGAAATTGAGAATGGAATCGGGGAATGTGTCAAAGAGGCAACAACCCGACCAAAGAGCAAGAAACAGCCCAGGGCCAATGCATATTTTTATTATGTATGAAACAATTTGTCCAAGCTAGCATCATATATCCTGTCTCTTTTAATGAGTCTTCCTTCTCTTTTACAACAAAAAAACTTTCGTTTATGACTGCCGGTTTACTTCTAGTATGGCAGTTGATTTAATGAGTTTTATACACCAGCCACAATTAATTTGGACCCTAAAGTTACTTCTATTGACAGTCACTGTCTGGGTACTTTTGAAAAGGTTCTGTCATTTCACCCAAAGGTATGATGAGTCTTTTTTAAAACAGCAAAAACAACGGTTTAATAATAAATCCATAAAGAGTTACTCCCCCTATTTTTGTCTATTTTGAAATTCTTATGTTAAAAATATGTTTACTACATCTTCTTATTTTTATATTTACTCATAGGAATATTTAAAACTTCACAAATAATTGTGAAATATGGAATGTAATTTAATAAAAAATAAAATTCTGTATACATACAGAAAAAATACATTGTAAATGAGAGGTTATATCTCCAATACTCCCAATGAATCAAACCAGTGTTATGTAGACAATGTACCAACCATGACAGGCCATTCAGCCAGTCAAGGTCATTTAAAACCATCCTAGTATTACAAATACATGTAGTAATAATAATTGATAATTCTCTGCATGACTATGACTGAATGGAGAATACAATTTCTTTCCCTGCAATAATGTCATCAAAACACAGTACAAAAGAAAAGAAAAACTCAAATGAATAAAAGGTAATAAAAAAAGAAAGAACCCTATGGGAACTAACCTTAAGGAGGATAGAGGAAAAGAGTTGCGAAGTGATGCATTTTATGTTCGATGAATATATCTAATTTGTCAACTTGATTACCCTGGTGCTATCTAAAAATCCTGGGGAGAACACTGCAGAAGTGTTACAGTGGAATTTCAAGTTCAGTTTATTAACATATTTTTTGGGAAAACTCAGAACTTTTTATCAATTGCAAGATAAGTTGTAGAGAAATATTCTAGTGCAGACGATAGGCTGTAATAAAGTGCGGGAAATTGTATCACATCAAAAAACGAATATTACCAGAGAGTAACAAATGTTATAAAATTAATTATCCTGCAAAGAAACCAAGATGGCAGATTTACAATGGAAAGTGTTCAGGATAATGTAAAGGTCAGGATTATACAGTGCAATAACAATAAAAGGTACTTGGAAAAAAGTGGTTTTTTGAAACATTTTTTTTCTGCTTAGTGAAAATCATCATCTCGAATAAATGCGATTGACAGTTTAAAAATATTTCATCAAAAACCTTGGTCCAATTTTACATGACGGTGACTGTAGGATGCATATGTAAGTGACTGGATTGCTTCCCTTGAATAGTAAATACTTAGCAGTAAGCGGTTAGCTGAGGAAGTACTTCTTTAGCTCAGTCGGTTAGAGCACTACCTTGTAACACAGAGGTCCCCGGTTCGAGTCACAAAGGAGACAAGGTGATCTTAATGAAAATCATGCTCTCAAGTTAAATTTGCGCCCAGGCCCCAACTAAAAAACCCACAGTGGTTAGAAAGGATTTCTAGCCAGGGTATGTGTTGTTAGAGTCATAATGGTATCATGGCTCTTGAGGTTTGGTAAGTGTGATGGGATTGCTTCCCTTGAATAGTAAATACATAGTCAGATGTAAGCAGTTGAGCTGAGGAAGTATTTCTTTAGCTCAGTCGGTTAGAGCGCTGAATTGTTACACAGAAGTCCCAGGTTTGAGTCCCGGAGGAGGCAAGGTGATATTGTAATGAAAATCATGCTCTCCCGTTATACATGTTATATGTACGCTCATGAGAACCCTTACAGTGTAGACAAAACATTTGACCAAAACTATTAACGATTACAATGTGGCAGGTCTCAAGGAGAATTATTTGACCTTCAGGTATATGATGTATAACTTCAATTTGTGGCAAGATGTTTTCCAAATTTTCAAAATCTGTCATTCTGAATGAAAATATGGCTAATTACCAAGAATCCGGGTCCGTTCGCGCCCAATCACGTTCGCCCCCATGCACGTTCGCCCCCTTTCACTTTTGCACCCTACACGTTCGCACCCAGAGTCCGTTCGCACCCTACACGTTCGCGCCCAATTTTTATTGGTTTTGTGTTTAATAATTTGTAAACGAGTTTTGGTAAGTGTATTGCTATAAATATATATTTTTTCATTGTTTCTAAATAAAGTGAGATTCTTACAAGGTTTTTTTTGTGTCATGGTAAATATATTGCTATAAACATTTTTTTTCATTGTTTTTAAATAAAGTGAGATTCTGACGACCAGTATTTTATTTTTGTGTTGAATAATTTTTAATCATGTTTTGGTTAGTGTATTGTTATAAATATTTGTTTTCATTGTTTCTAAATAAAGTGAGATTCTGACAACGTTTTTTGCATGTGTTGATAAAATCTTAATCATGTTTTGGTTAGTGTATTGCTTTAAATATTTCTTTTTTATTGTTTCAAAAGGAATTGGGATTATGAAAACGTTTTTTATATGTGTTGAATAATTCGTAATCATGTTTTGGATAGTGTATTGCTATGACTATTTTTTTTCATTGTTTATGAATGAAGTGGGATTCTGACACACATGGGATCAAAGGAGCCAAGCTGTTAAAAACAATTATCTTTCGTGTTTTTTTATTTAAAATTTTCAAAGTTTTACTCATACCAAGCTAAATACATGCAGTATTTACATCACAGCAAGTTAAAACAACCATGACAACAATCATGATTTTTAAACACTCAACAATAACACCAAATTAGGATGTGTATAAATACCAATTAACAGTAATCATACATAATTAACATTTAATAATTAATCATCAAATCAATTTAAAACAATATTTCATTTAAAAATTCCCGAATTTTTATTTATGAAAATAAAAATATTTTGATATAAAAATCTACAAAACATCCAAAAATTTATCAGGTTTTTTAATAAAAAAAAAAAAAGGGTGCGAACGTGTAGGGTGCGAACGGACCTAGGGGGCGAACGTGTGGGGTGCGAACGTGTAGGGTGCGAACGTGTATTGGGCGGGAACGGACCCGATACCAATTACCAATATCATGAATATTGTCATGATGAAGTTCATTCTGATTAACTGAGCTTTTCCATGTTTAGACTTAAAATAAAAAGTATATTTTGTTGACTTGATTTATATTCTATTGGGAAATCGAATCCAAAGGAGTAAAGCTATTCAATTTGGGTGAATAGCGATTGGTCACTACCTGTAAAATTATATGCAAATGGTCAAGCGAGTAATTTAACATTGTATTTCTACATAATTCTCACCGGTCGCAGTTCACTTATTTCGTTAAAAGAAAGATATGATAAAATGGTGTCTAATATCTCTTCTGGAATCGATAAAATTGTAGGAGTTTGGCATAACTCAGCAGTATCTTCGCTGAATATTTCTGAATTTCCTTCAGCCATTTTCGAAACCAGAAATGTAAAAAATTAGAGTCGTACCGGACATATCCTTCACAAATTACGGATTTACAATTTTAACGAGCGTATTGCTGATAGCCTAGTCAATTTAGCTCCTGCAACTAATTGAAACTTTAACACACGTTTTTTTAAAGTACAAATTAGAATGTAGACTTGTACTAACAAAGGATTTATAAATTCTTGTACTAACAACATACTAAAATACACAAACGATATAATTTGAGGAATTTTTTTTTGGGGTGACCCAACTTGGTTTATATATATACAAGGATTTCAACGGTATAGTATATAAATCCTTCGTTTATATGATAAAGAAGAACAAACAGTTATTTATGGTTACATTTAAGACTGATAGCTTTGTGAATACTGGAAAGATTATCGATCATTTTATTATGTAATCAACTAGTAATTACTAATAGTATTTATATTAAGGTAATCAGTTGGAAGTGACATATGTATTTTTATTTTAGAAAAATCACTGAAAACTGGAAATGAAGAAAAGAGGCTTGGTTAATTTATGGTTAAAACTTTTAAATATGATATTTATAAATGATAGACCATATCATCTTATGTTTATATATTCCTTTAGTTATCAAAAACTAATCTAATTTTTAGGTGATAAATGTGGTTTTAGGAACAAATTACACATGTTACAAAAACTGACCGAAAATTAAAAAAACCTGTTTATTTATAGTTTGATTTTTTAAAAGTATGCTTTGTAGAAGTTTATCCATTTCATTTCATTCAAAGTTTCTGTTATGTTTATTTGTGTTTCCTTAATTATACCTGCTTATATGATAAACAAACATGTTTAATTGTGGTTCAAAAACAACTTTAAAGGAGTTTGGTCACTGACGTTGGTTTTGGACCTTTATTGCTGAACTAGTTATTTCTCTAGTGTCCTTGCTTCACTATTGACAGTAGTCCTAATTTTGGTATTTTCAGCCACTTAAAATTTACAACCGATGATTTGAACTTTTTACATTAGGTCACCGTTAAACACAGACGTACAGACGACGTGATTGTAGTTTTCTCTTTTAACATGTTTAACAAGCTCTGTCAATATCCACGTTTAATTTAATTTCAGATATTTACACTCTTTTGGGTTTATCTAGGGAATATATATACTAAATTAACATGCAACATAGATCTTATTTCACTTTGAGGCAAATTCAAGGAAAGCTACTAGTATATCAAAGAACTACTTTATTTATCATTATGATTATAAGTTTACCTTATTATCTTGAATTTAAAAAGTAATTGTACCAAAGTGGTTCAATTTTGGGTGTTGATTATGAGATGAACAGTGAAAATGTTATATTACGAAATTAAAAGACAAAGATATGCATTCTTAATTTGATTAATGATAATCAGCTCAACCTTATCCAAGAACTACAACCAGATCATGCATCACACAACATCTGTAAATGAACCAAAATTTGCAGTTTCTGTGGGCGATTTAGGGCATGAAATGTCGTCCCTATTATCGTGACCCCAATACCGTCCTCTTTTCCTCGTATGTGACCTACCGAATTAGACTCATCACTGGATTTGTACATACATGAGCAACACGAAGGGCGTGGAGCAGGATCTGCTTACCCTTCCGGAGAATCTGAGACCACCCCTAATTTTGTGTAAAAGGGGTTCGTGTTGCTCTTGATTTAGTTTTTCGTGTTGTTCTTGTTCTTTTAATTTTTTAATGTCTGTGATGTTTATACAAATGACAGTCTTGTCTATACTTTGTCTTTTGGCTTTTTGAGTCGTTTGGTTGTGTCTCATTGACATTAAATCCCTCACATCTCTCTTCATTAATAAATATGCTCTATTACATACAGAGTACTGAAAATTCAATTTCAAAGACACCATATCCTACTTCCTGAATGCTGACCTGCATTCAACTTATTTGAACGAAACTCAACAAATGTTTCAATAAGAATACACCTCCGATCAAACTGATATAAATGTTTAGCTTCTAAGGTCCATTAATCTCTTTCAGTAATCTTTTGGTACTGTGCTTGTCTCAAAAGTTGGAAGTCGTGTGATTGATCTCTTGACAGTCAAACCACAAAGGTGTCGAAGGATTGCCAATGAGAAAACTCCACAGGTGTTGATGTAAACAACTTTATGTCATCGTATAGCTTTCAACGATCAGCAAAACCCATTACATAATTATATTAAGCTATAAAAGGTCAAGACATCTCATGGTTAAACAAGTTTACGAGCGCCTAACCCTCCTTTTATCAGAAACAGTGATGAAACAACACAACAAAAGAACAAACTGTAAAAACCAGTTGGAAAGGGCTCGACTGAACAGATCGTTACATAGCATAAAAACAACATACAAAAAACTCACTGCGTACTCGCATCTAGCTCAAAGTTAATGAATAAATTATGTTTACCCAGACTAAAATATAAATCAGTACACATCTGATTAGCATCAAAAGTGAAAAGTGAGATTCACTGTTACCTCTAAAATAGCTCGCAAAGCTAAGGGTTTATTTGAATGGCCTTATCGGTACTGATAATAACGTGAGTTGCTATTTGCTTCCAGCAGCCTGAAATTCTCACATTTGAAAAATATTCAACATTTTAACACTCACCATTCATCTTCTTTTATTGAATAAATTGTTAGGTTTTTAAGCTCTTCAAATGCTTGATTCCTTTATAATGTTGGGAAAAATAAATACTTAGAGATATTTAAGTCTTAAAAAAAGAGAAAAAGAATAGTTTGTTTTAGATTATGGAAAAAAAAGTCCCCTCCCCTTTCGTCCCTTAAATAAAAATGATGAATTTTCGGTGCCTTAGCCACAATGGCATAATTCTTTTAAATACAGAGTAAGATTGTGACCAAGATGGTTATATTAATTAAATACTGTGTACCAACTGTAGGTTATACACACGTTACTGTCATTGGAGTCAACACTGTTATAACAAATTAAGGTAGATCGAGTGTCTTCCGCATCTTGGATTGTAAGAATACAGAATACCATCAGATTTTATCTTAAATGAAATGTTCAACTTTTGAGAGAGGTATGTGATTCATTTTTTTAAATGGAGAAAATTACATGTTTTATCTTATTATTACCACTGTTTTTTTTAGATTCAGAAAATGTTTTGTTTGATTCAAATTTTTCAACTTTGCCATATAAGGGGAAGCAACTCAGATAACCTTACTTTTACTACCAAAACTGTTTGATGAATTACACTACTTCTGCAAAATATATTTCTCTTTATACTTTAGTATGTTGTTCATAACTAGTAACAGACTGATGATTTAAGCCTTTTTCAACTGATTTTTATAGTTTGCTGTTACACCACAAACATGTTTAACCCCACCACTCTCTTTATGTGCCTGTACCAAGTCATGAGCCTGTAGTTCAGTGGTTGTCGTTGGTTCACGTCTATCATATTTGTTTTTCGTAAATTGTTTTGTTATAAATTAGGCCATTAGTTTTCTCAATTGTTTCATATTTTTCATGTCGGGGCCTATTACAGCCGACTATACGGTATGGGTTTTTATCATTGTTGAAGGCCGTACGGTTGCCTATAATTGCTTACATCCACTTTATTTGAACTTTGGTGGATAGTTGTCTCATTGGCAATCTTACCACATCTTCTTATTTTTATATTGTCTTCCAGAGAAAAAAACTTTGTGTTGCAATTAGTTGTAGGTTGTTCACCAAATTGACTAGACGATGAGTTAACATGTAAGTAAATTTCTGCTATTTGTAGAAAAAGACTATCATGACCGAGCTGGATACTCGAGCTCCTATGAAACCTGTACTTTAAAATCGATTCTAAAATTAAAAAAAATTAGAATTGGTAATCGTTCATTACTGTATTACTCGGAGGTCAGGGGAAAGCAGGAGATTCTTATTTATATTCACACTGTATTTGAATATATGTTTTACTACTATACTTTGTAGGGATATGTTAACTCTGTGTTTTTTCTTTCTCTCTGTTTAATGTTAGTTTTGTCACAAATCTTTAATGATCTACAGTCTAGGACATACTTTTTTATTGGCAGTATATAATATTCCCTGATCTACTGTATATGGCAATAACATATTGTTTTGTATGTATCACAGACATGGACATATTAAAATTTTATTTTAAGTCGATGTAGATAAATACAAGCCTTACATAAGCTCTAGCTGATCTTAATGTGTTAATAGCCTGTTATATTCATGTTTTGTGACGGTTGGAATTTACTAAGTAGATCATCATGTTATATATTTGAAATTTCCAAAACATAACATAACTACACAATTGGGGAGGTAATTAAATTTTTTCAAGTTTGGAACGCATCTATAGATTATCACAAAGTTCATTTCATCTCGACCTGACACCTACGGTTTATAAAACACTTTATCAATGCAGTTCGATTTACTGTTTACTTTCGCTTAATTCGAATGTTCATTTAAAGAAGGTATCATTTATTTTTCAACCCGGGCATGGCATATGAATTGTTGACGGCAACACGGTGACCTGTAATTGTTCACAGTTTGTTGTCTGTGGATAGTTGTTTCATTGGCAATTATATGCAACTCTTAATTTTATTTATTTACTTGTTTCTGCATCTCTCATGCAATGGCAATACCGTTCCAATTACTATATGTGTTGCGTCAAAAATATGAATTGTAACACGTTATAGGTACGGGAAAGGGTGAACTAATCTTCAGTTTCCAGAAACAGAAAATGTAGAGGACACCTCGAAACAGCACCAGATCATTTGACATTGCAGCTTATAAAAGGAAACTCAGATTTGGGTAGTTCCAATTCAAAGTACAAAATGTAAAATCTTGTGAAAAGAAAGAAAACACATAAAAATAGATAAACAGTCTGAGAGTAGTTAATTAATAAAGATATCATTACGCGATTATTTCTGTATTTGCCTAGCTTGATATTGGTCCTTGTTTTCCATTTATTTGATGTGTTTGAGCTTTTGATTTTTCCATTCGAAAAGGTCTTTCCGTTTTAAATTTTTCTTGGAGTTCGGTATAAAGTAAAATAACAAAAATACCGAACTAAAGTCCCTTATCGAATGGCAAAATCAAAAGCCCAAACACATCAAACGAATGGAAAACAGCTGTTATATTCCTGACTTGGTACAGGCATTTCCTTATGTAGAAAATGGCGGATGAAACCTTGTTTTATAGCTAGGTAAACCGCTCACCTGTTTGACAGTCGCATAAAATTCCATTATATTGATTACAATGTGTGAACAAAACAAACAGACACAATAGGTAACAATATCAAAATAGGAGTAAAACAGTCAACATTGTGTTATAATCTTAACCACTATAAAGACAAACAAAAAATGTCAACAAAGAAAAATAAAAATGGCATATAGAAAAGCACATAAGCAAAAATGAAAGACAAGAATACAAAAAATGACCATAGCACAATAACATAATGGCGGGATGTATAAGTACCGAGCCACGCCAAAAGGATATTATTTGTGAAGTTGATACGTATTTTTTTTATTTTACTTTTTAATTACTATATAGGTGCACCAATAGATCAAGACTTTGTTTTCCAAAATTATCACTGTACCAGCCTGCATGTTTCGAAACCGGGACTCCTGGCACATTCAATATACTAAAACGTCAGATGAAGTATCTAAACAAAATAAGTTATCCTTATAAATTGATAATTTTGAATAATACAATGACTCCGTATTCTAATGGTCGCGAAAGAGCAATCTCCTAATTTGACTTGAACAATTAAGAGATTATTTTCTTGTTGAAGACTGTATGTTGACTTCTAAATGTCTTTTTGTTTTTCGTATCGTTGGTTTACTGTCCCATTGACAAGAAACCCACACACCTGTTTTCTACAAATACAAAATTTTATATGTTAGAAAAAAACTACATCTAAAAATTCTATTTTTCTAAGTTATCTTTGGTAATTCGTCTTTAATTTTTTTTAAATTCCACTATTTCAGTCCTGTCTTCAAATATTTAGAAGGACTAAGTATCTTACGAAAAAACTAGATTTCGCATTGCCAACCAATCGGACAATACATTTAACTTGCACGAAGACAATGCAGCATGATTTTCTTTCGAAATTATCCATTAACAAGTCTGGTTTCAAATTCCTACACATGATTTATAACAAATGATGATAATAAGGTAAACGAATCAACATAACTTTCAGTAAGAGTTCTAATGACATAATGATAATTTAAAAAATCGAATTTCAGGAGATTTCATGACATCGACACATTTACAATGCTTCTCTTTTGTTGATTATAAAAATCAATTCTACCTGTTAGCTATTTTTACAACATTCTTATACCCAGGTAAAACTGTGTGTGGTTCACGTCTGACAACTTACAGTTTAAATTATTTCAAGGACAACAAAATGGCTGAATGCTCAAACGGTAACCTGGAAAGAGATATTGTAAAATGCGGAATTTGCCTTTCAGCTTTTACAAAACCTGTTCTTTTGAGTTGCTTCCACATTTTTTGTACACCGTGTGTTACTAAATTGACGGAGGGTAAGGACACATTGATTTGTCCGTTATGTAGGGCGGTACAAGTACTTCCAAACAATGGTGTTGATGGTTTAACCCTTTATCCGTTCACGCAAGATGCAGGTCCGCCTGACACGAACGTTATGGTACTATGTCAGATGTGTGACAATGACATAATCGCAGTTTCTAATTGTATCGATTGCAACAGTAAGATGTGTTTGCAATGTTCTGCATATCATCTTAAGCATAAAATATTTAAGACTCACAAAACGGAAAAAATAGAAATTGAATGTACCGAAATCGAAGCAACAGAGACAAAAATGTCAGAAGATGACACTTGTAAATCGCACAAAGAGGAACTTACACTTTTATGTGAATCCTGTAATAGAGCAATTTGCAATGAATGCATAAAACAAAATCACAGATATCATAAATTAGAACCAATAACATTTCCTGCCAAAAAAAGAAGAGACTTTCTGCAATCAGCAATTAGCGCATTGAAATCAAAGATCACTGCAATAAACCAAAAGAAAGAAATTTCCAAATTTGAGGAAAATATCTACTATAAATTATGTAGACAAGGAAAAGAAGAAATAAGAACGCATTCCAAGAGATCAAAAGACACTGTCTGCCAGATTATTGATATTTTAACGGATATCAATTTGCAAGAAATAGATAAAATGCAGAAACAAGATATAAAATCAATAAATAATCACCAAGATGAACTTGAGACGATAACATTGTCTTTGCAGTGCTTGCTAAGAAGCTCCGAAGACATTGTAAATCTAAGTCGTGATGGGAAGTTGTTTAACGATTATGCATTTCTTTACCAGACATTACTTAGTGCAGTTACACAGGACAATGAGTTCGTGTTATTTGCCCCTCAATTCTGCTCTGGTCATCCCATTGAACACAAATATGTTGAAAAATGTTTCGGCATTGTAAGCAGAGGAAAACGACCGAGTATCGCGAGTGAATCGAAAACGCACATTCATTCGCTACCATTTATTTGCAAAGTAACCAAATTTACGAAAGTAACCTCTCTTAACACCCCTGGCACTAAAAGGTTATTCGGTATCTGTGAAAACAAGGCGTTGATACACGTAGCTCAAAGAAAAAAAACCCATGTAAATCTCTATTCTGCTAAGGATTCAGACCCTATTTTGGGGTATAATGTGGAAATGAAAGATGGTCAGCATATACTACGAGCAACACAAACAGAACTGTGGGTAAAGTTAGGTCCACTTATCAGTGTGATGAAAATTACTGAAGGCACCTGTACCAGAACTGAAGAGATAGTACAGATGCACGAATTCGTGAACGTTGCATGTTCAGTACTTGATGACAACCGTATTATTGCGTATTCTGTAAATAATAAATGTTTTTATGAGGTGAAAACCGATGGAGTCTAGCCGATCACTATAAATGAAACAACACTAAAAACCATCCCTGTAGAGGAAAAGCTTGCTAATCTTGTAACCATTGAACCTTTCAGTATAATCGAAACCTTATCAAAGCACATCATGCTGACAAGCAAAGACAAAGTTATCACACTTGATAGAAAGTATATAATCTGCAATGTTCATGAACGCATAGGTTCCGATTTCAAGGGCATGTGTGAAGATCCATATGGAAATATATTCATAGTTGATTATTCTTTAAATAAAATATGTCTGTTCAATTCCAGTGGTGATTTTATACATTGTGTGTCAGTACAGGAAATTAACTATCCAGTGCACATCACCCGTGATTCGGTGGGAAATGTTTGGTTTAATGATACTCTTGGAAGTCGTGTAATGGTCTACTCTTACCTTTGATTTTTCTATTCTAAGCAATAGAGAAAAATGGATATTCAGAAAATGACACAAAAGCACATCGAATAGTAAACATTTTAAAGAAATAAACTAAATTAGTAGTGCACATATATTTTACATTAAAATAATATACTTAAAATATTTACTTATATGCTTTTATGATGAAAGCGCCAATTTCATGTAAACAAATTTCAAATGTTTTGAATTCATATTTTACTTATACCATGAAACTTGGACAAATGACTGTTTGCAAAGTGCATATGCATGAAGAAAGTGGTTAATATTCGGGATAAGACCACCTCATTAAGAAACAATGGTTCAATAGAAAAGAGTTTCGCTATATAAGAAATAATTTGACCATTCTTCAGGAAACAATGGGGAGCAATACATTTTGTTATACAAGAAATTATCAGGCTGCTAATACGGAAGAATGTACGTCATCCGTCGTTAGTGAAAACAAATTAACGATTGTTAAAAGACAGTATTTCAGTCGATCTTCGAAAACAAGAAATCAGATAACAATATGCATACCCTTACGAAGCACCGGAGATCACCACCGGTTTTTGGTGGGGTTCGTGTTGCTCAGTCTTTAGTTTTTCCATGTTGTGATTTGTGTACTGTTGTTTGTTTTTTGGTCTTTTTCATTTTTTGCGATGGCGTTGTCAATTTATTTTCGACTTATGAGTTTGAATGTCCCTTTAGTATCTTTCGCCTGTATTGCTGACGAAATGGGATTAAACCAATAAGACCACGAAAACATTAGAGGTATTGTGAGTGTACTCTCATCGTCAATGGACAGTAGTTCTTTATCTTTTCACGCGTAAGAGGAATACATGAATTTCAATTCATCTCTGACAGTTATCACGTTTATTTGCACAGTTGAAGAAGAATTGTAAATGAAAACATGTCTAAAAAAAGTTTTAAATTATCTTCATTGGCGGATCTAGGGGGTCGTAGATGGCGTCCGCCCCTTTTATTGCAAGACAAAAAAAATCTCATGTTTTTGTCTCGTATGCGACAAAAGTCTCAGTATTTTGTCGGAGTATGCGAGACATAGGGATTACTATCCGGCCACTGCGGCGGTGTAAACTACAAAAAAAAAAATGATTGTATACAGCTTTATATTTCAGAAGGTAGAGGACATGGATGCTTTCTACCTTGTATGCAGATACCTTATGTTACGAAGTTTCCGTCTGTCATATATCCATTGTCCTTGACTTCATTCTCATGGTTCAGCGACTGCTTGAAAAAAAAATTATGTTTTTTATGTCATGAGAATCTCTCAATTATTAAGAGTAATGGGATAACTATATTTGGAATATGGGTTCCTAGCAACGTCAATATATCCGTCAGACATGGATCTCCTGACCTCGACCTCATTTCATGATTCAGTGATCAAGGTTAAAGTTACGTGATTAGGTCCGTTTCTCAGATGCTATAAGCAGTAGATCAATTAAAGATGGCATATGGAGTGATTGTAAGGGGTAAATGTCAGTATTGCAGGTTTCATCTGACCTTGACCTCATTTTCACGATTCATTTGTCAAATGTTAAGTATTTGTGTTTTGGTCTGTTTTTCAAATACCATAAGTAATATGTCAACTATATTTGGTGTATGGAATAATTGTAAGGTGTACATATATCTGTCTGACAGGATTTGTCTGACCTAGATCTCATTGTCATGGATCTTTAGAAATGTTAAGTTTATGTGATACTTGTGGTAAAACCTTTATCTTTAGATTTCAACATAAAATCAATGGTCAGTAAAGCAGGCGAGATATTTCCGTGTGCACTCTTGTTCTTGATATATATAAATTTAAAGTATAAACTCGTCCAAAAAATAGGATATTCAATATTTCTTTGCTATTGCTGTTAATGTCATTTAGTGTTCAACTTGTCTTGTTTTTGATACTTATGTCGTAGACCTCGCGTATTATGGTGTACTTTCGTCCGTCTGGCCGTTCACACCTCGTACCAAAAAAAAATAGAGATTGCGTTGATAAAGTTTAATTAAACTTTAAATGAATATATAATTTGCTACAAGAAAGCTCACTTTCAATTTTGATTTGTTTCGATTTGGGAGTCTAGAGTTACGAAACCTTAACCCTCAGATTTAAGGCATTAGGTGTACATGGATTGATTGACCAGAAACAAACACGCCTTGTTATGATTGAGAAAATGAAGCTCCTTTTCAATGTGGAAAATTTTCTGATTTTTCGTTTCAGAATTTAGGGACTTTAACTGTCATATGTAAGTAAGATTTGTATCTTGCGTATGCTTGGACCGATTTTCTTGTAACACTACACAATTGTTGGAACTGATGAAAGTAAACTACTTTTTTATTTTGACAATTTGTTTGATTTGTTCTTCCGGAACTATGGTATATTAACCGTCTAACTGAAGGCAATAACTTTAGTATGCTGGGATCAATCTATTACAAACTTTACACTGTTATGGTGATTGTTAATTTATTGTAAACTTCCTTTCGATTTACAAAATCTGCGTTTCCTTTGGTATTCAACTTTTAAAGTAATCTTAATATTTGAGGCATGCCCTCGTGTAAATTATTCGATAGGACCATTTAACTAACTGTCTACAATATTCCATTTATCCGTACAACAATTCCTATATACATAAGACGGGCGTAAAAAAATAAACGACAAAGGAACAATAAAAATATTTGAAGCCCAAGGAAAATGACAACACGATGTAAAAAAAAACCAAAAAGGACGAAAAGACAAACAGCAATAAAGAAAACGCTACATCGAAAATTTTAAACCAATCAAAAAGAACCCCGCCAAAAGCAGGATATTATCTCAGGTGTTTCGGAAGGGTATGCAGATAATGCTCCAAACGCGTTCTTAGCCAACCGTGTCCGAAGGGCAATGTGGGCTCTTGTCCCCACTTTGCTCCCTTCGTCCGATCGTCCGCCGTCCGTTGTCTCTCTTTGGTAAACTTTTTCTTAATAGATTAAAACCAAGTGTATCTGCTTCATTTATAGGATGTCAACTATAACGTTTGTGATGTTTGTCCAATTTGATTAACCAACATTGCCCCCGTGACTAAAAATATAACACAAGGTTCAAACTACAGTCTTGGAGAATATTTCGAAAACTATAGCAATTATAGAATACCTGACAGTCAGAAAAAAGGTCAGCACAACAAGCTCTATCTACTTAAAAAAATAAGAAAAATCTGTTTTAAGTTATTGCCTCTGAATTATTGAATTGTGTTACTTTTTCTTGGCCATATTGTTTTCGAAAACTAAATGAGCTAGTTTAAAAGTGAAAATATAAATATATCAGCACTGAAAGTTCTATCTAGCAGAAAAAAGAAGATCCTAAATGTAGTTATCACTCCTGAAATGTAATTACCAATTTCTACGTTTTTGACTGGAATCATTAACAATATAGGAGCAAGGTTAAAAGTGTCAATTGCATGTAGAAACTCATCAAATATATCAGGCTTATAGTTTTATATGCCAGACTCCCGTTTCGTCTATTTAAGACTAACAGAGACACACGAATTAGAATAGTTTGATTGTTTGGGTTTGATTGTTTCTGATAAAGGTAAATACAGAAATGCGCTTCGATCGCACGAAATTTATGTCATTTTCGATGCCTAGCACTTGGTGGATACCGCTACTGGTATTGTTAGTCCCCAAGGGTATCATCAGCTCTGTAGTTAGTGTTTCGGTACTGACATAATTTATAACAAACTTTTGTAAAATTCAGCGTTGATGAATTAAGAAAAAAGTTTGAAAAAAAATAATAAACTTCAAGGTGAATTCAAAAAGGGAAAAGTCCATAAAAACTGAAAAAATCCAACGATGGACTATACAAATAATTACGAAACTAAGGTTCCAACTCCCTCATTCAAGATTGATCTTATATGAATTTTGCTATACCTTTTGGGTCCCTTCTGTTCGTATTACTCCTCCGTTCTTGTATATTAATATTTCCGTGCACTTCTAAACCTCCTGATTGCACCTTAAATATCGTGAGCCTTAATCAATCAATTGGAAACAAAACTTCAAAATACTGATGGATTCAGTCGATTATTATGCCAGGCAATCGGTTAAACGCGAGAAAGAAGACGTAGACACTCTTTCCGAATGGATTAAGGCTGTGAGGTCTTTGATACAAATCAGAAAAAAAAAACCAAAACTGAATGGGTCTATGAATACCCATGCTACATCAATCTTTAAAGACCCAAATGTTGCAAAACACCTGTCATACCTCTATGTTAAATATGTTGTTGTCCCCGCAGATAAAGCCCTAAACAACATCGTTTTTGATAAATGAATTAGTTATTAACAATTCACGCATAAACTAAAGATATACCCCCATGACACTTATCAAGAAAGACATCCTTGATACTCATAGATCTTTTCTATGTTCCTTTTAAATTTCAACTAGAGATGACGAACTGGATCTTCCATCACTGTATTGGATACCTAAACTACATAAGTGTCCTTACAAAAAAAAACCTGTTATATTGCTGGGTTTTCAAAGTGCTCCATGAAACCGCTTTCTGAATCAATTACATCAATTTTATCAGAAAACGAAGCCGTGCTTCAAAGTTGTTGTGAAAATACCTATTCTAGAGGTGACGTGAATCAGATGTGGATACAAAAAAAATTCCAAAGATCTCTGAATGTACATTCAATCTAAGATCCTTTCATGTTTTAAAAGTATTAAAACATTAGACTTTTCTACACTTTACACAAATATTCCCCATTCCAAACTAAAAGACAAATTGAAAGAGTTGGTAATGCTTTTTTTCATAAAAAAGAATTACCAACGTAGATACAAGTATCTTGTCTTAGGGGTGATAAATCGTACTTTGTAAAAAATCATTCTGATTCAAACAAAACTTCTCTGAAACTGACATTATCAAGATACTTGGTTTCTTGATTGACAACATATTTGTAACGTTTGGAGGACGCAATTTTTAACAAACAATCAGCATTCCCATGGGAACCAACTGTGTTCCTCTTCTTGACGACTTGTTCCTTTATTCGCATGTTTACATAGTTAGCCAAATGATGGACAAGACACCAAGTAATGACAAATATGCGACTCAATATCTCCTCCTGAGTTGATGAATGCATTCAACCGAAAAATGTTTTTAAAAATGTAACCGGATTTCATCAAACAATAAATAACCAATCCCACATAATAAAAAAAAAAAATATATATATAAGAGTGCAGATACGTACTTGTTTTCTATCAACAATGTATCAGATATTTTACATTGAAGAATTTATATTTTATTCAAAATAAAAGGTTTT